AACCTAGGTAATGATATCCTTCTATCTGTACAGGAAGGTCAAAGTCGCATTCAGCAGCTTGATATACCTCTTGTTGAGCAGGCCAGTGAGCCTACACCTATACCTAGTCAGCGGGCTCCACCACGCTGCAGTGCGTGTTGGACTATTGGACATACTAGAAGGAATTGTCCTAATATATAGCTATATATTCAGCTACTAGATAGTCAAGTCTAATGATGTTGGTGGTTGAAAAGCTTCAAATTAGTATTAGAAGCGGCAAAAATTCGTCGCTCGGGGGTATTCGTCGCTCGGTGGTTGATTACGTTAACTTAAGGGTCGTAGATTATCTAATCCGTACTGCAGGTGGTATTATGGCTTGAGCCGCTCGTAAACTTACTGTTCCAGTGTGACAGTGACCAGAGCGAGCGGCTTGCGCCTCCTTGGGCTTGGCGGAACCTCCCAATTCTCCCATCCCCAAAATCATACCCTCAAACCTTCGCCCCGTCGTTGGATGCCTCCCGCAATTTTTCCACCTCCCCATCCATTTCTTCCTCCCCAACCCCATCTGTGATTGATGACCTCGTCGACTAGCCCCGTGTCTTCGGCCTCATTGCTTAGGACAACGGTCCCCTGCGTTGCTTTCAACGCTTCTCGCACCTGCTCGCATCAGGTCGATTGAAGAGGGAAAAGTTGGAAAGGGAAAGGAGGTTCTCCTCCGGCCACTCGTTTTTCTTTGCTGGTCTTTTTTTCCTTTCTTGATTGCGAACTTATTCTTACCTTGTTCTATAATCTTCTATTCACATTCCTGTCTATATTTCTGCGATCTGCAGCTGGTATACATCCATCAGCTTTTGATTCCCCTTGGTCTCGCGTGCGGATTGTTGCAAACGACTTCAGCATCTATCCTCTGCTCATCAAACACGACTCTTGTTCAGACTAGGCTGCTCGTCCGAACTCGGACAGAGCCTTGATTCTACCGCTGGAACCTGACATTGGTGTTTTGCGTCGACTTGTTCGAAGTCGACGCAGCGTGGAGACACTGCCATCATGAGCTTCATTCAACGTATTGTGAAGCGGTTGCCCTCTACGCCGAATCTACCCTTCGATGACAGCTCACGCGAAAAGGCTCGGAATTTTTCCAGATTCGCTTTCCTGAAGCGCAGGATACGATTAAAGGGCAACTCGTCGATTTCCATACCCCTAGGCTTTGTTCTGTTATTCCCGTGCCTTGTGATTATCCTCATTTTACTCTTGTTCGTGCGACATCCAGCCTCTCCTGGAGGGATTCTCATTCCGGCAGGCACTCCGCCCTCGATCAGGTTCGAATTGCATCCACATCCCCTTCATCCTACCACTCCTCAAAGCTAACTGCCATTCTTTGCTACAGGAGAATAAGTGAGAGATATGACAAGGTCTTTGCTACTGGCTGCTTGCCAGTTGAAGAGGTGCCCCCTGACTATAAACGGGCAAATGCTGCGTTTGTCGTCCTCGCCCGTAACAAGGAATTGGAGGGTGTTGTTCAGTCACTCAAATCCATTGAGCGTCACTTCAATCGCTGGTACCACTATCCATATGTATTCTTGAACGACGGCGACTTCGACGATGACTTCAAGGCCACCGTCAAGAATTACACGAGCGCCCCTGTGGAGTTTGGCAAGATCGATGAGACCATGTGGGGTTTCCCTGACTGGGTTGACCACGAGGTTGCCAAGGAAGGTATCAGAAAACAGGGAGATGCTGCAATTATGTATGGAGGCATGGAAAGTTATCATCATATGTGCAGATTCTATTCCGGGTGAGTGTCTTGCGGCTTGTCGTGGTTAGCTATGATTAACGTGCCGGCAGGTTTTTCTACAAGCATCCCCTCCTCATGAAGTACGAGTGGTACTGGCGTCTTGAACCGGAGATCAAGTACTTCTGCGATATCACATAGTACGCACTGAACTCCAATCTTTGCAACTGGCCGCATCCTCTAACTACGGACAATAGTGACCCTTTTATCATGATGGCCGAGTCTAATAAGACTTACGGTTTCACTATCGCCGTCAAAGAACTCCGCGAAACTGTACCCAACATCTTCCGCTACGCGTCCGCCTATATGCGAAAGAATAATCTCAAGTCGAAGGGACTTTGGGAAATGTTTCTTGAGAAGCCTGAAGAGGAAGAACCCAAGCCGGAAGAAGAGAAGAAGGACAAGCTTCCCGACGAGATACTCCTTACCGATCCGGGCGAGAATGCGCTTCCTGAAGTTGATCCAGAGGCTATGGAGGGCGAGAAGTACAACATGTGCCATTTCTGGAGTAACTTCGAAATCGCACGGCTGGATTGGTTCCGCAGCAAAGAATATGAGGATTTCTTTGAGATGATGGACAAGAGCGGGGGCTTCTGGATGGAGAGAGTATGTTTCCAATGGTTCGTGGTCTTTATTTGGCTAAACTGACTTTTTTTTTTCTTAAAACAGTGGGGTGATGCGCCTATCCACTCGCTAGCCGCTGGCGCTCTCTTATCTCCCAGCGACATCCACTACTTCCGTGATTTTGGCTATCGTCACACCACGATCCAACACTGTCCTGCAAATGCGCCTGCGCGACAACTGCCCCGAATTCCATATCTGGAAAAGACCACGGTGGATGAGAAGGCGCGAATCGAAGAGGATGAATACTGGGCGACTTTTGACGCCGTCAAGGAGAACGGTGTTGGTTGCAGATGCAGGTGTGATACTGATATTGTGGATGTTGAAGGCAAACAAGGCAGTTGTCTCGCCGAATGGGTAGAAGTTGCTGGAGGATGGGCATCTCCATAGACCTGAATTGCCTTTGGAACCCATCAATGTACTCTGTATAATGTTTGCAACACCCTTTCCATGCCTACTTGTTCGATTATGAGCGCTACTTGGGTCGCCCTGGGAGTTTTTTGCTTGGGCCTGCAGAATGCGTTGGCCGTGGGGTTCTTCTGGACGGCGTTTAACGGATCTGACGACTTCTCATACGGAAGACGGTGTGACACCCTCATATTGACAGATTCATCTAGCGTGCTTCGTACATCTTGTTTGGATTGCCAAGTTCTTTAATTCTTGTCGAAATCTTCATCTCCTTTTCAGAGAATACCTTGACTGACTTCCCGAAGAGTTCTCTTTTGCGCATTGGCTGATCCGACTCTTCGACGATGCCGCTTTCAAAGCTGTGGCTCATGTACCGCCAGCGACCGACTCGTGTGGAGTCTTCTTTCCACAGGCCCCTGTTACGGATGCCTTGGAGAGTCTTCCTTCGGCCTGCCTCAGTTTTGAGCTAGTGCTGTTTTCTGATCGCCATTCGCTGAAGCCCCCAAGTGAGCGTCCTTGGGAACAGTGTGGGAATAGTTATGGCCATCTCAGACTCTCGAGGCCTAGCATTATATGTGAACCGACGATGACACAGCGGAAATGTGGCTGTTATTGATGCCTCCGATATTTAATCATTAAATTCCTACCTCTTTTTTCCCATGCCTCTTGATATTGTTGTTCGCCTCGCTGTCTCCTTTCAACCCAGTATCCCCTTTCTGTTTCTGCCCTTCTGCATTTAATTCATGACCCGACTGTACATATTGTCCCCAGTGAGCCCCCGTTGAGGAAGGGCCCCTTCATATGCGTCATTGAGTCTCAAATAATACACATGAGCATGACTTGTCCATAGAACATGAGCTAATCCATCTTTGTGACGTTGCCCAAGATCGAATTATCTGTAAGCTTGTACGCATCGCTGTGGTCATGAAGTTACAGAAAGAAGGATCAGCCTCCATCCCCCGCGCGATTCATTCCGGAGCTGAGTAAAGAATAGGAAGAGGAGTGCATATTGAGGGGCATTCAAGTATATGTTGATACCCCGGATCCAATTCAAAATGTTATCCCAGGGTTCAGTTAAGCGGAGGGCCAATCCTCCATACTATGGACCGCTTGGCCCTGACATGGAGGTGCTGCATAGTCTAGGCCTGTTCGGGTTTAGCAGTGATACTTTTATCGTTATCAGTTGCTCCAACGATAATAATGATAAACGACTGAATGATGATAATGGTGAACACCACATGATGAGGTAACTGCAGCCTTAGTATCTAATGGCTGCCTAGGGAATACTGGACCTAAGGTACCTAGTTATCTTCCACCTGACTTCGATACTCTGGTCCTTGTAATTATTGACACGGACTGTAGTAGTCATCCGCTGTCATGTGCCCCGCCCGCCCGCCTGTGGCTGTTCTTGCTATCTACATTGACAGGCACAATCCGTTTCCCCTCATCTACTTTCGAGAAGATCTGTCAAAAGGCCCATCATACGCTGATCTACTCTTTCTTTGATGTAGGATAAGGATCTTCATCTTGGATTTTTCCATCATTCAACTGACTTGTGTGCCTCAGTGCACCTGACTACTTCTCCCCTTAGCCCGGGAAGCATCCTCTCCGCTGCTATAGTAATCATCGGGCATCCGCCTATTAGGCAGATTTGATCTTGGGAAGTTCACTGACAAACTGTCCTTTATCATTCTCAAATAGAACTGGGCAGAGCTTCCCTGTGAAGTTAACGTATCCCCCCTTTCAAATCTGTCCACTAGACTCAGTCTTCGTTCTCTGTACTCGACCGAGACTACGCAATCACCTCATTGCTATGACCATCTCTGCTCGATGACAACCGCACTCTGAAACATGGCTGACTCTCCAGAGCCCTACTCCAGACGTCCCTCTGTCTCAGACACACCTCACCTCCAATATCCAACGTTTCCACCGCTAAGCGGTTCTGTTGAAGAGTGGTTATCCCGATCGAGACCTACAAGTATGACGTCAACTCCAGCGGCAGAACACACCAGCAAGTCGTTGAGTGAAAGTTGGGCAGCCTTGAGTGTTTCCGACGCCCATTCTGAGGATGGCACTCGTTCTGAGCAGACTGACGCGGGGTCTCTGATCGATCAGACCGGCCCAGACGACGTTGCGAGTCTCGATGACCAGTACAGCTGCAGTGAGGCTGATGGGGTTGGCGAAGATGACACTGATGAGGAATATAATCAAAGGATCAATGATTCTGAGTCTCAGGAGCTTCCCTCCATATTTACTCAAACCGGCGACGCCATCGATGGTAGTAACCTTACAGCTAAGACGGCCTTTTATCAATCGAGCGAGTCGATTCAATTCGTCGAGCCTGAGCAGTGGCCTGAAGCCGAACGAGTAGAGCTAAAACACACCATCCGGGTCATTGACAGCCTTGAGTCCACAGAACTCCTAGAGCATCTTGGTCGCGACTATCAAGACTCCCTCCTCACAGTCACAGTCCAACAGACAATGACAAAAAGAAGCCTCGACACCGAGAAACCGTTTCGTGTGCTGTATATTGGGCACTCCGATTATCGCACTATCATACTAGACAAAATCGGTGATGTTCTAGTGTCAAGCTCATGCAGCAGCTATGAGAGTAGCTCCACTGAGTCTTCCAGGTACCATGTCGTTCCCACTGCATTTGGTGCAGGGGCCGTACCGAATTTTGCAGAACTTCTTCCGATACATGTGCAGCTCATTGTCGACGAGTGCGTTCAAGCTTCTTCCGACGACTCTGGCTCGATCAGTCTGATATTCAAGAATCGGCCCGCATGCACATCTTCTTGGAGCGGATTAGACTACACAGTCTCATCCTCTTCGGACTGGACACTCCCGGACGTAGCCATCCTTTTCTTTTCAACCATGGACACTCCTGATGCTGTGGAAACGCAAAAACTAGCTCGTATCTTCATGGAAAGACATAGTGTTCCGACTTTGATGATCTCGGAGAAGCCGCTGTGGAAGATGGCGAGCGAGCCAATTCCTCTGAACTACCATAGTCTTCATATGTGTCTGGAGTCTCGCCATCCAACTACTGGGAAGACTACAGTTCTGAGGAGGTACCCCATCGATCTGAAAACTTTCGAGAGCATTACTCCTGGGCAACTCAACCGGAACCTAGCTTCTCTAGCAGAGGTCTGTCCTCGCGTGCCATCCAAAACCCGGATGCACCTATCAGATTCTCCAGAAGAAACGAAAAAGCGATTCTTTAGCGCGGAGATCTTCAACAGGGCGATTTCTGGCGTCTACTACCGAAATGACGACCGCGACTGGATGCCCCTCCTGCGTTTGAGTATCATGACAATCATTTTCATCACGGCTATCACGTTGTCCTATTCGGCCCTACAGGTTACTACTGTGTCCCTCTTACATTTGTTCTCTCATCCTACCTTTTCAGACCCCCCATCTCCTGTTGTAATGACAAGCCCCTCCAGCCTTCTTTCCATGGGAGGACTCGAACAGATTTCCCTTTCAGCACCGTCCGCATCCGCGGAGGAAGTACAGCTGCTCACAAGTCAATATTCCAGTCGACCTCACTTCGGGAACATTATTAGTGGAGTCGCATCTGGTCCTGCGCAGGAGACGAAATCGAACCAATTTCAGATACAAGTAGTCGGTGATTGCCACCTTGTTCTAAAGCCTCCGCGTACGTTCTTCAGTATGAAGAAGCAACCGAAATTCGATGTCCAAATCAGCAGAAACAATGTTTCTCTTGCTTACGAGTTCTCCAAGCTCTTCGAAGGAGTGTACACGCTAAGACTGGACAGGGGAGATGCTTACGGTGTCGTCGACATCATCATCACTGCAGACACAAAGCCATTCCTCAATCAGACCATTTCAGTTGATCTGGGGACACCCTGGCTTAAGATCTCGAGCTGGAAGCGAGCGGCGCAAGCTCTTTCATCCCAACTTGCGCGAGACTTGGGTTTAGCGCACACCAGCCTGTCAGAGGCATACAGTCGGTTGTGCACCGATTTGCAGTTGATGATGGGAGATGTAGTGCGGAAAGCGCATTTCTTGCGACATGAAGCCGATATAATTCGGCAAGGCTCTGCCCAATTTTCTCTGGAGACGAGAGAGGCAGTCATGTCTACGTCAAAGCAAGTTTCAGAGGTCGTGAAGCGCACTGCTGTGCAACCATTTCTGGCAGCCTCATCCGTGATACACAGTCACACGGACAGATTCAACAGAGAAGCCAAAGAGTTCATGGGCGACACATGGAACAAAGTCAGCACCTCTGCCCGAAGTCTCGACCTTGGGGCCCTCAAGCGCCAAATGCGAAACTCTAGGAAATGCGACGCTTTGGATAGGGCTCAGAGAAGGGTAAAGACTCTGATGAGGCGAAAAGCTGCCCCACGCCTGGAAGATTCCTCATAAATGTTGCAGTCGGCGAAATTTGGCGTCTATAGTTCATTACTTTTTATTTTTATTTTTTATTTTTTTTTTTTTTTTTCGATTGTCCTCTATCTTGTTTGGGAAATCTTTCAGGCGATAGGGACGTACGAATAGTCATAAGCACGGGTTAACAGGGTTTACGAGAATATAGCTTATCTGATGACTGGAACAATTGCTAATTTACGCTTTTCATGCATCCATCCTGGCAAGACAATCATGCTGAGAGTTCTAGGACTGTCATAGATCATCTGTGCTTTGTAGTCTGTAGGAAATGGCCTTGAGCGGTGGCACTAGTGGAGTAATTGTAGCCTTAGGCTACACTGCTGGGGGCCGGGCATGATTATTTTGTGAGCGGGACGAACTCCCCACCTTTTGCAGGCCCTGAATCAAAACATATTTTGCCTCTTCCTTTCACTACCTTCCACCACAAATAAAACTTCCTCTTATCCGAGTAAAAGGTAAATAGTCCTTCGCTTCAAAACTGCAATTTCCAACTTACAAAACTTCTATAACCGCAGATTCTTCCACCATGTCTGACGTCGCTGAAACCAAGCCTGACCCCGCCACCAACG